TTGGTTTTTATTCTCCCTCCCCTCCAGTGTCAAAAAAGAGCAGATGGGAAAGGAAGTTTTTATAGTCTTTTCATTGAAGAAATTTGAAAATTCCTAATGTAATTATGTTCTGGATTTGGTGTAAAAAGCTTCAGGCTAAATATTGATGGGAAGGAGATTATATTGAACTTAGAAAGGGAGCATCTGCTAGACTTTAGAATATTATTTACTCGTTTTCTGACCAGATACAATTAGAGGGAAAAGACCCATAATTATGCTGTAGCGCTGTTGGTTTGTTGTTGTTTGACCCTACACCTTTTAGAATTGTGTGATCTTTAAAATAGACACAGTTCAGTTTGCCATTTTAATTTACTTTTGGGAGCACTTCTTTCTGCATTTATTTTACAATGGTCTTGCCCTCAAAAACAAATTATACATATAAAGAGAGGCTGAATATCTGTATATTAGTGTTATACTTGCCAGACAATATGGATCAAAAATTTGATTCCTTTTTTCCTATTAGTAACATATTTCATCCTTTTGTCCTATGAAATAGAGAAAATTATATTTTTCTCTTGAACTGAGAGAAGAGCAGCATTTCCATATACAAAACAGAAAAAGAGAATTGCACATGCAGTTGCAAATCTGTACCATACACGGTTTGCGAACTCCAAATATACAGCAAATTCAGACATGTTATTTTCAAAGCTATCCTGCTTTGTGTTTCCTACTGACCTTCATTCTGTTCTCTTCTGTGCATTTTTAAGTGCTTCAATGATACTCTTTTTCCTCTTCTTTTTTAAAAATAAATTTTGGCAACTGTGTCACTATTACTTTTCTCCCTTCCTCCCTCCAATTGAAAGATTTAAAAAAAAGTCTTTGTATCAGATATGCAGAGAATAGTAAAACAAAGCCCTAAATTGCCCATGTTTGAAAATATGTGTCTTATTCATGACCTCCCAAGGAATGAGTAACATATTTCATCTTCAGTGGTCATTGCACTGATCAGTATTCTTACATCTTTTTAGTGTGGTTTGTTTTTTTTTTTACGGTGTTCTTCGTAGTGAATAAGGTGTTGTGTATCAGTTCATACAAGTCTTACCAGGTTTGGCAGAAACCATCCCTTTTGTCCTTTCTTATGGAACATATTCCATTACATTCATATGCCATAATTTGTTCAGTCATTTCCCAGGAATCTTCAAACTGCTCAGTATTATGATCTATAATAGATGGTATCCATTAGTGGCTGTTTAGTTCACTTGACTCACTTAACATTCATTAAACATCTATTAAGTATCTACTCTGTATAGAGTACTGTTATAGGCATGAGGGAAGAGGCAGAAATGGAAGAAGACACCATACCTACTCTCAAGGAGTTTATAATCTAATAAGGAATTATTAGACTCTCCCAAATGATACCCTTCTTGCTAACTTCCCCAATTTTATCCTTCCAATTACTCTTCTTCACAACCTCAGAGTAATTCTATTTCTCTCTCTCTTTCTCCCTCCTTCTCTCCTCTCTCTCTCCTTCTCACCCTCCATGTCCAGTAACTTGCCAAGTCTTACCCCACAACATTTCCCACATTCTTCCCTTTCTCTTCACTCACATAGCCACCACCCTAGTTCAGGCCTTCATCACCTCTCACCGAGACCATCACAGTAGCCTCCCAATTGATATTCTTGCCTCCAAGACTCTTCCGTCTCCAATCCATCCTACACAGCAGCTAAAGCTATATTCCAAAAGCACACTTTGCTGAAGAAGCTTCAGTGGCTCCCTGTTGCCTAAAGAATAAAATACAAACTCCTCTTGCCGTTTAAAGCCTTTCCCAATCTGGTTGCACCCTGTCTTTCCAAACTCTTTTCACATGACTCCCCCTTGTACACTCTGTCTCCTAGCTAAACTGTTTTACTTGCTGTTCTCTGGAACACAATATTCCTTATTTCACATGTCTAGAATACTCTTCCAAACTCTCCCCTACAATTCTTAGCATCTTTATCTCTCTCCAAGTCTCTACACGGGTGCCATGACCTTCAAGTTAACTTTTGCTGATCTCCTGAGTGATTAGTGCTCCCATCCCCAAATTACTTTGTATTTTGTATATATTTTATAATTTACTTAGTTCTGCCCATATTCCACTTCCTCCCCCAGCTGCCCACTGGAATGTAAGCTTCTCAAGAGCAAAGACTTTTATTTTTGTCTTAATAAACTCCCAGTGCCTTCTGTGGTGCGCAGTACAAAGTAGATTCTTGATAAATACTTAGGAATTGAATTAAGGCAATATGATATGTACATGATAGTTGATTGGAGTACTAGCCCATTTGTGTCATTTAGATTTTCTGTGTTTCTTTTCATAGATTATTCTACAACCTCCTAAAAATGATCAGGACAGGAGTAGATGAGTAGACCAGTGAAAATGTACCAGCATTAATGGAAAAGTAGCTCAGAACTATGTCATCATTGGTAGAACACTGGTATCCTCTTTGTATATAAATGGGCATCATTTTTACTACTGTTGTTTATTGCCAACCAGCATTTCTGTAAAGAGAAAACCTTGAGGTGGTTTAGTAACCCAGTTTCTTAATCCTTAACCCACTGTAGGCTGTACTATGAAACTTGTAAATATTTATAGTGAAATTGATATTGAAAAAGAGTATAGGATTTGGAATTTTAAAAAGAAGTACAAGTGGCTAGTCAAAACCGATTCACTGTACTATATAGTGGTTTAGGTCAGGGGTCTGAATACTGATTGGAAATATTCCAGAATCAACCACTAGCTGTTTTTCAAAGTAGAGGTTAAATGTGGAATATTCCCATCTGCTTTCCTACCCTAAAATTATAAGAATTTTTCCTCTTTGAAACCCTCATTTTGTTACTGTCACATTGTTATGCATTCCGAACTTTATTATCAAATATTCTGAATGCTTTAGAATTTCTTTATTTACTAAATGCCTTAAATCACTTTCAAACATAGAATCAGTAGTGTGTGTGTGTGTGTGTGTGTGTGTGTGTGTGTGTGTGTGTGTTTGTATAGTTATAGAAGATATTGCTTTTCTTTAGCTTTATTAACTTTTCTGAATCCAGTTCAACTGGAGAGTTCTTAAATGACACTCATTATTGAAAGACATCTGTCTGGCTCTGTATTCCCAAATTTTAAAACATTATATGGCCATGTTACATGGGTAATATTAGTACTTGATAGTGAGAATGTAAGAACATCTATGATTATGTATTGGTTTATAACTGGGTGGACTTACATAAACATGAAAAATAAACCTCCAATGCCAAGGATGCCAACAAAAAAGAAATATGTAGTATATTTTCAATTTTTTCTTATTTCTTGTTGTTAGGTTGGTGGTGGGGTATGGTTTTATTGATCCCTTTTGGGTTTTTGAAAAATGTCATTACCCAGTTTATTTCACCCCTCTTTCCTCCATTGAACCAATTGTCTCCTTCAAATAGTGTATGCTACATTCTGTTTCAGTCATGAAACGGTCATCTATTTTCTTTCATCAAGATTGGTCATCATTTAATCTGAATTCAGTCCCTTTTAGTGTTGTTTTCATTTACATTATTGTGGCTTTGTATATTTTTCTCCTAGGCCTATTTACTTCATCTGCATCAGTTCATGTATGTCTTCCCCTGTTTTTCTGATTTCCTCATTGGTGATTTCATAAAATGTAATAGTCTTCATTAAATTCTTACACAGTTCAGTCACTAATTCGGTGAGGACACATTTTGTTTCCGGTTTTTTATTACCACAGAAAAAAATGCTGCTACAAATATTTCTGTATATGTGGGATCTTCCTTGCTATCTGACCAACTTGAGGTACCATACCTATTACTGCAGTGGCTGTAAGTAAAAGTTTAGTAACTTTTTTTTACACAATTCCAAATTGATTTTCAAATTAGTTAGATCATTTCATAACTCAACCAGCAGTGTATTACTGTGCCTATTTTCCCATAATCCTCTAACACTTTTCAATAATGGCTAGGATACATATATATGTATATGTGTGTGTATATATATATATATGTATATATTTTTATTACCATATATCATATCAATCTCCATCTCTGTTCAACAACATTAATTGTTTGGAACTATTACCTAAAGGGCTGTAAAAGTGTATGTACCCTTTGAGCTAGCAGTAACACTACTACATCTGTATTCCAAAGAGATTAAAGAAAAAAGGAAAATTTTATATGCATACATACATACATACACACACACAAAAAAATATTTATAGTAGCTCTTTTTGTGGTGGCAAAGAATTGAAAATTGAGGAGATGCCCATCAATTGGGGAATAGCTGAACAAGTTGTGGCATATGATTGTGATGGAGTCCTATTGTGCTATAAGAAATGATGAGCAAGATGATGTCAGAAAAACCTGGAAAGACTTAGATGAACTGATGCAAAGTGAAGTGAGCAGAGAACCAAAAGAACCTTGTACACAGTAACAACAATATTGTACAATAATCAACTGTGAATGACTTAGCTATTCTCAGCAAATACCATGATCCAAAACAGTTCTGAAGGACTTACGATGAAAAATGCTATCCACATCCAGAAAAAGAACTTAAGGAGTGCAGATCAAAGCATACTTTTGTACTTTATTTTCTTCTTTGGGGGCTTTTTTTTTTTTGGTCTGTGTTTTCTTTTGCAACATGGCCCATATGAAAATAAGTTTTGCATGACTTCACATGTATAATCTATATCAAATTACTTGCTTTCTCAAGGGAGAAAAAATAAAGAGAGGGAGAATTTGGAACTCAAAATATTTTTAAATGTTAAAAAAAATTTGCATGTAATTGAGAAAATGTTTTTAAAATTAATTGCCATGTTTCTGAATTGATTCATTGGATGTTTATATTGTGGTGGGTATATTTGGGTTCAGTCTAGGGTTTGGAAAATTGTTTTGTTTGTTAAAAAGTTTGTTGTGATGTTAAAAGTCACATTTCCATTCAAGTTCCTGCTTTAGTCATACTGTAGATTACAATTTTTCAATGTTTTTCTGCTAGTGCTTGGATCAAGGTTGAACAGCTAAAACCATATCATCCCCATAAAGAGGAAATGATCAAGATTAATAAGGGTAAAAGATTTCAGCAGGCTGTGGACGCTGTGGAGGAGTTTCTCAAAAAAGCCAAAAGCAAAGACCAGGTAAGATGCTTTTTGCTTTACTCTTAACGCAGTACCGGCTGGTTATGTATGTGATAATGTTACTGAATCTTAAATCTATTATTTAGCTTGTAGAATCCTGACATAACCTACCCCTTCTGGGCTATCTATCTCCTATATGTGAGATCCATTTTGCCAAGCAATCCAAAAAATCTGTGTCCTTTCTTAAATATTTGTGGCTTTTTTGCAAAGTTCCTTCAGTGAATCAGTAGGCTCTCAGCCTCTTTGAAAATAATACAAATCTACCCTCCGTTTTTACTCTATAATCCTTCAGTCATCCCATAATTCTGCTGAAGAGAAAAATCGGCGTAATTCCAGTGAAGAAAGAAGTAAGCAGAACTCAGGAGATGAGAAACGAAAAGCTGGCCTATCTGAAGGGAAAGTAAGGAAGAATATGGGAGAAGGAAAGAAGAGAGTATCTTCAGCCTCTACAGAAAGAGGCTCCAAATCACCTCTAAAAAGGGCCCAGGAACAGAGTCCCAGAAAACGAGGTCGCCCCCCAAAGGATGAGAAGGTTTGTGTATATCTAAGGTCTCTGAAACCAGTCATATTCTTTTATAAAAAGGTAGAGTTGAGAAAGGTAATTCAAAAATCAGCAAGCTAGAATGTGTTTATGTAATAGACTTATTAAAAAGTTTTGACTGTTTTCCCATCCTTCCAACATGCCACTCCAGTCAGCCTTCCAGTGTACTGATCTCTTAACCATAGTCATCCACATTAGTTGTATACTGCATACCTTAATTCACTCATTAAGCATTTAGAATACTTTCTAAAGTTTGCTGTTTTGTTTTTTTGGGCGAGGCAGTTGGGGTTAAGTGACTTGCCCAGGGTCACACAGCTAGTGAAGCATTGTGTGTCCGATGCCTGATTTGAACTCAAGTCCTCCTGATTCCAGGGCTGGTGCTCTATCCACTTCGCCAACTAGCTGCGCCTCATTAAGCATTTAGTAAGCATCTATTGTGTGTTAAGCTCTGGAGATACAACAGTAAAAAACAAGCAGTCCCTGCCCTTCAGGAGTTTACTTTCTGTTGTCATGAAACAACATATAAACAGATAAGTAAAAAAATACAATGTTGTTTCTAAGTAGGAGGGCCAGAACTAGCAATTTGAAAGTCAGGAAAGGCACTTGAACTGACTCTTGAAAGCCAGGCATTCTAAAAGGCAGAGGCGAGGAGGAAATGTGTTTGAGGCATGGGGACAAATTTATGTGAAGGCAAGGAGGTAGGTGATATGGAATGTTTTGTACAGGAAAAATCAAGTAAGCCAGTTTGTCTAGAATAAAGAGTTCATGAAGGAGAGAAATGTTTGATACACTTGGAAGTATAGGCAGAAACCAGATGGTGAAAGGTTTTAAATGGCAAATGATGGAGTTTATAGTTTGTCCTGGAAACAATTGAAGACTATTAGAGCTTCTTGAGCAGAGAAGTGACGTAGTCATCTATGTGCTTTAGGAATATCAATTTTGTAGCTTGGTGTGTAGAATGGCTCAGAGTGGAGGGAAGAGACTAAAAGGCAAGAAAATTGATTAGGAAATTATTGTAGTATTCCAGATGAGAAGTGCTGAGAGCGTGAACAAGGGTTTATGGCTCAGTACAAATGGAAGAGATGTAGTGGTAGAATCAACAATTGGCAACTGATTGGCTATCAAAGGTGAGGAAGAGTGAGGAGTTGAGGATAATGCTGATGCTTCGAACCTAGATGGCTAGTTTGATCCTTCTAGGCCTACTCCAGCCTGGTTTTGCTCATCTCCTAGCCCTTTCCAATTTCCTCTTGTGGACCGCAACTGGGGGGTCCTACATTCTTAAACTTATATCTAACATTCTTTCCACTTCCTTATGTTAGCTGAAGCCTATCTTTCCCCCTAAAAATAACATATCCTTTTGCAACTCTCACCATCAGAAGTTTCTACTTTGTTGTTCAGTTGTTTCAGTCATATCTGACTCTCTGTGAGCCCTTTTGGGGTTTTCTTGGCAAAGATACTACAGTGGCTTGCCATTTCCTTCTCCAGCTCTTTTTACAGATGAGGATACTGAGGCAAACAGGGTTAAATGAATTGCCCAGAATCACAGAGCTATTCAATGTCTGAGGGCGGATTTGAACTCAGGTCCTCCTGACGCCAAGCTCTATCCATTGAGCCACCTATCTCTGCTACCTATGACATCAGGGCTGGGAGGAGTGTTAGCCACATAATTCCTCAAATCTGGTGACCTCTATCTTATTTCAGCCATGTAATACCATTATTATTTATACCTTTGCCATTACTACCTCATGGAACTACAAAACTCCTAAGATCCTGAATTCTGACCATAGCCTCCTATCCTTTCTCACTTATGCTGAATAGTCTGTCATCCCTTGGCCCCTTCTATTTAATTCCCTATGCATTAGTCAGTACCCAGCTTTAACCAGGTGATCTGCTATCTTAATGTTTGAGCTATACACCTGTAATCGTTTTTCTGTCACAAACACACACCCAGCCTTCCACCATTTTTAAGCCTGTTAATTTTCCCTTGTGAGGTAGTCCCACCACTACCATAAGAGCAAACTGGTTTCACCTATTACAGATTTATGGTACTTAACCTCAGGTGGGCCCTCACGGTTCCCAATATTCCTTCAATTCATCTCTTATTAACTCCCTATTTCATTCCCAAGAGCACTTGTTCCAACCCCTTTCCCTCTCATCAAGCCAGTTTGTGGAAGGCCTTGTGGAACAATTCTGAACTTTACTTGGTAGAGAGAGGGGAAACACTGATTGTTTTTATCAGTGACGTTACCAGATTAGTTATAGAGAATATATAGTTCTATCTGAGTGTTCCACTGGTAAGTCAAACTCAGCATATCCAAAATTAACCTTTGTCATCTTTTCTCTTAAAGATATACTGAAAAGATTGAATCCATCTGAAGGAAGCCATACTAAAATCCTTTTAATTTTCAGAATCTCCTAGCATCATCACTGACTCTTCTTCTGTTTCTCCAGTCACAAAGAGGTATCTTTCTTCCTCAGTAAAATTAATCCCACTTGCTACCTGTGACCTTGATCTCATATTTGCCAGAAACCTTCAGGACCTTGTTTGAATAATAATCCTTACTCTTATATATATTCCATTTTCCCCTCTCTACTGGTTCCTTTCTGTCTGCCTATAACTATGCTCAGGTCTCTCCAAACCCCCCCAAAATTTCATTCTTCTATCCAATTATCCTCCCCTCTCTTTCCTTTTTTTCTGCCAAAATTAGAAAAATTGCTGTAATCAGGTATCTTCCCTATCTCACTGCTCATTCATTGCTCATTTGATTTGTAATTTTGCTTTTACCTCCACGACTCTGCTGAAAAAACTCTCAGAGATTACCCAGGACTTCTCAAATGCCAAATCCTCTGGCCTTTTTTTATTCTCTATTACCTCTGCACATTTGATAGCATTAACTGCTCCCTGTTTCTGGATCTTTTCTTCCTTAACTTTAAAAACAAACCATGTGTTCCTGGTTCTCCTACCTGCTTTTCTCTTCAATTGTTCTTTTTCCTTCAGTGACCCTTCACCCTGTTCTCAACTTCATAGAATGGATATTTCTCTAAAGTTCTTTTCTTGTCCCTCTTCTCTCTACATTCTGTCCCCACTAATTTCATTTACTCATGGCTTTATGTATCAACTCTCAAATATGTATCTCCAACTCTGACCTCTCTTCTACGTTCCAGACCTACATCTCCAACGGCCTATAGAACATCTCTATCTGAATACTGCATTGGTACCTCTTATACTTAGGTTATCTTTCCCTCTAAATATGTTCATCCCTTTCACTTTGTTATTTGTGTCTGTGGAAATTCCATTCATATCCAGTATTTCAGATTACTCAATAAGTATTAAGAACCTACTGTGTGCCAGGCACTGTAGTAGGTGCTAGATGTACAAAGAAGCAGTCTATACTTTTGGAGCTTACATTCTGTCAGGCAAAACAATAGAAAAGATAAATGTGAAAGAATTTCAGGGGACGCTAGTAGCTACAGTCATCAAGAAAGGACTCATAGGAAGGAAGCAGAAAACTGGGAAAGAATTTTTACAACCAGTATCTCTGACAAAGGTCTCATTTCTAAAACATATAGAGAACTGAGTTAAATTTATAAGAATACAATTCCCCAGTTGATAAATAGTCAAAGGATATGAACAGGCAGTTTTCAGATGAAGAAGTTAAAGCTATCTAGTCATGAAAAAATGCTCTGAATCTCTATTGATTAGAGACATGCAAATCAAAACAACTCTGAGGTACCACCTCGTACCTATCAAATTGGCTAACATGACAAAACAGGAAAATGATAAATGCTGTAGAAGATGTGGGAGAATTGGAACACAAATGCATTGTTGGTGGAGTTGTGAACTGATGCAACCATTCTGGAGAGGAATTTAGAACTATGCACAAAGGGCTATAAAATTATGCATGCCCTTTGACCCAACAATAGCACTTCTAGGTCTGTATCCCAAAGAGATCATACAAATGGGAAAAGGACACACATGTACAAAAATATTTATAGCAGCTCTTTTAGTGGTGGCAAAGAATTGGAAATTGAGGGGATACCCATTAGTTGAGAAATGGTCAGACAAGTTGTGGCATATGAATGTAATGGAATACTATTGTGCTGTAAGAAATGATGAGCAGGCAGACTTCAGAAAAACCTGGATTTATATGAACTGATACTGATTGACATGAGCAGAACCAGGAGAACATCGTACACAGTAACAGCCACAATGTGCAATGAATAACTTTAATAGACTCATCTCTTCTTAGCAGTGCCAGGATCTCCAAAGGACTCACAATGGAAAATGCTTTCCACATCTGAAAAAAGAACTGTGGAGTCTGAGTGCAGATCAAAACATGTTTGCTCTCTTTTTTTTTTTCTTTTTTTTTCTTTTTTTTGTTGTTTGTTTCTTCTTTCTTATGGTTTCTCCCATTGGTTCTAATTCTTCTTTACAACATGACTAATGTGAAAATAGGTCCAATATGAATGTATATGTAGAGCCTATATCAGATTGCATGCTGTCTTGGGGTGGGGGGAGGGGAGAGATGGGGAGAAAATTTGGAACTCAATCTTATGGAAGTGAATGTTGAAAACTTAAGTAAATTAAAAAAGAAAACGAAAGAAAGGACTCATAGGAGGCGGCCTTTGAACTGAGCTTCAAAAGGGAGCAAAGGATCCTCAGAGGTGGAAAAGGAAGGCATGCACTCCAGGCATAGGGTACAGCCTGTGCAAAGACACAGAAATGGGAGATGGAATGTAGCAAATGAGAAACAACAGTAAGTTAGACTAGTTTGAAACCTTTTGTTGTTTTTTACTTTCCTCCTCCCTTATATTCAACTTGTCACTAAGTTTTTTTCAGTTCTACTTACCCTGTATCTCTCATATCCTCCTCCCTTCTCAGGGCTCCCACCCTAATACAGGCTCCCATTACTGCCCACTTCTGCTATTACAGATTCCTAAGAAGTCTTCCTTATTTCGTTCTCTTGCTATCCTAACCTCTAAGGCCATTCTTGATAGTCTTACCAAATGAATCTTCTTTATGCACAGGTATGGTCATGACATGACCAAAAATTTTCTGTGGCTCCTGATTGCTTGCTGAGTAAACTTTATCCAGCATTCAGTGCCATCTACAATCTGGCATTAATCCTACTTTTCCAACTTATTTCTCCCCACCAAAAACTCTCCTTCAGCCAACTGAACTACTTTCACCTTGTACTTTCCCCACCTCCATTTCTTTACTCAGGTTAATCCCTATGCCTGGAATGTCCTTCTTCCTAATTCACTCATTTGGTTCCTATCCATCCTTTAGAGTAGGCCTGCACACCATTCAGCCCATGCAGCCTGCCAAGGATTTCAAGTGGCCCTCCAGAAATGTAAAGGATGTAACTATGGCTCAGGTCATCCTCAGGCCCCAAGGCTGTTCTCAGACAGAACTAATAGGGCTCACTGGTCCTTTAAGAAGAAGTGATCATGAGGCCTAATTCCCTTGTGCAGGCCTGCTTTAAAGTCTAAATTATTGCTCTCTCTTCCATGAAGCCTTCCATTCTTCCTCTGTCAGGAATGACTTCTCCTGCAATATTGCCCAGTACTTTTTTTTTTTGCATCTCTTTAATGTAATTTTGTATCAGTATTATCTTATTATTTGACCATGAAGTATGATAATTTCTTCAGCTCAATATAAGAACTCAAATCCTAGTTCTTAATTTGTGGGAATGAGGTTTTAAGCTACTCGATTTGAGAGTAAAGCCCAAACTACTACTTTTGTGGGATGTTATCTTCAGGGATCTTTTTAAAGCCCAGCTTTTATCCTGTCTTTTAATTTGACTAAAGTAAAGTCATTTAGTCCAAAAGCTAGGCCAGTAGTTACTTTCCCCAGCTGGAATGGAACAAATTGGGCTCAAGCCAAATAATTAGTCACAAAAGTACTATAAGGTGTGGGAAATAAGTAGTTGAACTTTTGTGATTCAGTGACTCATTAGAGTCTGGTGTAGACTAATCAACTTGTGAGGTGCAGGTTCTTTGCATTTCTCTGAGAATAAAGATTAGCTTAAAGGATCATAGATTTAGAGCTGGAAGGAAGCTTAGACACCCTGAAGTCCAGCTCCCTCATTTTACAGGTGAGGAATCTGAAGCATAGAGTGTTTAAGGACTTGCCCATGGTCCCTCAACTAGTAAGCGTTTGAGGGAGGATTTGAATTCATAGTATTCTTAACTCCAGTTTCAGTGCTTCCAGTAATTCATGCTGCTCCTAAGGCTTGGCATTAATAACAGTAGAGTCATTTTCTTACAGGTAGGTGAAACAGGATGTCTTTATACAAGCTTTAGTATGAGAGTTCTGGGGAGCAACTCTCTTGTCACTCTTATTTCCTGATAATTTATTGAGGTTTGCAACTCTGGGCACACGCAAAACAAAATAGTATTACCTTTGCTTGAAGGTAGAGTCAAATCAATTGGTGGCAAAAGAGTAGAATAAGGGTCAAGTGACACCTAGGTTCTAGTCCCATTTGTGTTGTTAACAGTATAACTTTATATAGGTTATTTAACCCCTCTGGTTATCCATTTCATCTCTCAGATAAGGTTGATACCTTTACTGCTTGCTCCCAGGATCAAATGACAGAACACTTTAAAAAGTTGAAAAAAATGTTATACACTTAAAAAGTAATCTAACTTTCACATTTAATGACATTTATGTGTTTGCTTAATTGAGCACTTAAAAATATATTTTGTTTCCTGTAGCCTAGAAAAACTTAAATAGATTTTAGAGCTAAAATTATTTTGTCTGCCCTGGGGAAGGTTTGAACCAGCAAGTTTGCAACTCCACTAATCTCATACTTTGCATCAGTCTCAGAATACAGTCTTATCCTAGAGTGAGCTATAGAAAAAATGCTGAGCTTGGAAAGAAAGATATGAGAGAATCTGGTTAGTCAGGTTTTTATAATACCATTATTTTATTTTGAAGTATTAATGTCAAAAATGTAGTAATCTTTTTAAAGGATACTTTTCACTTTTACATGACATTCCTTTCCAACTATATCCCTTCCCCTCTCCTACCCAGTGAACCCTGTTTTCAAACAAAGATTTAAAAAGAAAGAGAAAGGAAGTTTACCAAAATCAACCAATATATGGACTATATCAGACAGAATACTAGATGTTCCACACCCATAGTCCCTCCTCCCCTGCAGTAAAGGGAAGGAACTGTATTTTTTCAGCTTTTCTCCCAGGGCCAAGCTTGGTCATTACAATTATACAGATTAAGCTTTGAGGTTTTGACTCTTATTGTTTTTAAATGTTTTCATTGATATCTTTTTTGTTTTTACATCATGATAGTTTTCCCCAGTATCTCTTCCCCTCCTGGAGAGCCATCCCATGTGAAAAATAGTGAAATAGTGTTTTTAAAGACAAAAGAAAAAAACTCACAAGTGATCAATACTTTGAAAAAGTCTAAAAACATGGGCAAAGTGCAATACGTATGGACCTCCCATCTCCACAAAGGATTGAGTTGGGGTGTGTTTTCATATCTCCTCTTTTGAGTCTTGTCTGATCTTTACTATTTTACTACATTCGCTTTTGATTTTGTGTGTCTGGTCGTTCTTTTTCTTTACATTGTTATAATCATGGCTTATATTGTTTTCTTGGCTCTGCTTGCTTCACTCTGCATCATTTCATGTAGATCTTTCCATACTTCTCTGTATTCATCGCACGATCACTTCTTATAGCATAGTAATGTTCCATTATGTTCATGTGCTGTAATGTGTTTAGCCATTCCCCAATAAACGGGCATCTGCTTTTGTTTCAAGTTTTTTGATATCACAAAAAGTGCTGCTATAAATTATTTATAATAATATATAACTACCTTATATTTGTATATGGGAATTTTCTTGTCAGTGACTTCCTTTGTTGCAGAAACATCTTTTAAAGCTAAACATTACTTTAAATGATTTATAGGTTAAACATGTCGCTGTTTAACTCAAAATAGGTCATAAGATTGTATATTTATAACTAAAAGGGACCTCAAAGATCATCTCAACGAATCCCCTCATTATATTGGTGAAATAACTAAGGCCCATGTAGACTCTGACTTGCCCAACGTCACCCAAGTCAGGACAGGTCGTCTGCAGCCAAATCCCGCATTCTTTCCACTGCATTTGATGCTATTGATTGCTATTGCTATTGATGGTTGATGGTATTTCAGTTCATTGTTCCTTTTTCTTATTACTGTTCTTGTGATATATTGGCAGAAGGATACATTTTACTTTTTTTTAGAAATGAAAGCAAGAAAATTGCAGTTCCTTTTGTCGATGCAAATAATTTGTTCTCTTTTCATAATAGCTCATTATGCTGATTTGTAGTTCACAAAGTGCTTTCCTTTTTAAGAATAGATATTACTCATGTAAAGCCTTTTTCGCCAAATAAAAATCCTTCCTTTAGACATTAAAATAAGTCCACAGCTTCTCTATTGTCTAGCTGTACTGTTTCGGTTGAATCTCATTTGAGTTATAAAGCTTATTGAATTAGGGGTAGATAATGTCTATAATGCAGGTTGTCCCAGCATCTTGCTGATCTGACTTTTCTTCTTTAGGACCTCACAATCCCAGAATCCAGTACAGTGAAAGGAATGGTGGCAGGAACAATGGCTGGGTTTAAATGGCAACCAAGTGTAAGCGAGGTAATAAGCTCTTTCTTTAAATGATTCCAACAATTTCAGAAAAGGTTTCCTATTTCTAATATGCTTTAAAAGAAGGCACTTAGTATTCCTACAGGCACTATCATCTCACACTCCTGGGGGAATAATACAAGACAGAACTCTGTGTTTAAGGAAGTGATTTACTTCCAGAAGACATCATAGAATCATAGAAATGGAAGGAATATTAAGAAATGTGTGCTGTCCTCTGCCTTTTTCAGACAGATGAATGTCTAAGGCTGCAGGTTTCCCACCCTTGGTCTAAACCATTCAGGGCAAGGTATCCTTTAAGAAAAGATTTCCACTATTGCCTGATCCAACTGTGGTATATCTTAATATTTTATTAATCTAAGTGATTTTTAGTACAGATTCATAAATATTCTTAGATTAGATGAGTCCTGGATTATAAACATTCTTTGTTTCTTTTCTTGTGCCATTATTGCATGTGTTTTCTGAGTGTATTATCATTTTTAGAAAGGGGTTGGAATGAACATTCAGAACAGTTCCCAAACAGTTGACAAAGAACAAGTCTCCTAAATGTCTCTTAGGAAAGTCAGGTTAACACAGCATAAGGATGGTGTCTTTCATGGAAGATAAACTGTTGCTTATTTAGTCATTTTCTGATTTCAGCCTGTAAAAGATGGGGACCCACATTTTCATCACTTTCTTCTCAGCCAAACAGAGAAGGTGAGTTGATCTTTAGAATTATTGATTCTGAATCTGTCAGGCACAAGGCTGTGTAAGAGAGGATTAGCAAAAAGGTCAGTCAGTGCTGAATAAAATGTCAAACTAAAGATGTCAGGTTGTAATGCTTCTTAGGAGCTACCCTGTTATCCTATTATTCTCAGGATTCACTTAGGCCGTATGTAATTTTGCCAGAGCAAACTGGTGAGAGATTATTCAGTCAAGCAGTTAAATTGATGTCATGCAGACAAGAATAATGGATTGTTTGAATTGATTTAGCAGTTGTGTACTTGAGTTGATCAGGCAGTTCATTAGAACTGATCTGTGTGTGTAAACCCATGATACTCATAAGGCATATTTTTAGTGACCATTAACCAAGTAAGTTACATGATTACTGTTTACTCCATAGAATCTAGAAAAACCACAAGTTGTATGTGAAATGTATGCAGCTTGCTAAGCCTTTGAGTATTAGTAATGTAGATACTTTGAAGACTTGGAAGGAAAGTTGGTTTTAGTAGGTATTTTCGGAGTATGACTCCAAGTCATAGGGCCTTGTTCTTTATTTTTTATGCTTCCCTTTGTTCTTGGGGCAACAAGTTTATAAATTGGTTCTATGATGAAGGATGAAGTCTGTTTAATAAGTGATTGTTTTTTTCTCTTGTTAGCCAGCTGTCTGTTATCAGGCGATAACAAAGAAGTTAAAAGTATGTGAAGAGGTATGCAGGTTTCTCTCCTTTGAATGTTCATGTTTCAATGGGGATTTGATCATAAGCATTCTAACTTCATGACTTCCTAACTTTTTTCCTTAGGAAACCGGATCCACATCTATCCAAGCAGCAGACAGCACAGCAGTGAATGGCAGCATCACTCCCACGGACAAAAAGTATAACCCCTTATGGGCGTGCTCCCTGTGGCTTTGACCAGGGTAGAATATTTGGGGTTTTGTGGTTATTCTTTAATTAGGAACTGAAACAACTTTATAAGAAAAAACTAATCTGTTTTAATGTTAAACTCTCTAAACTATTTCATAATATCAAATTATTTTCCAATCTTGTTCTTACATTTTCATCTACTTAGCAATTACATAGCTTATTCTGCTTCTTTTTAATACTTTTATCTTGTCATATGTTGACACAGCCCACATCCTTATTTAGAATAACTGTACAAATATATGGGAACCGGGGCAAATAACCTTACCTCTTAGTGTCCTAGATAATTCTCTTAAGACTTGTAACTTGCAAAGAAATTGCTGCCCTTTATTGACGGAAGTTTTTTCACCTTTTTATTTCCTTTGCCAGTGAAATCACAGGTCTCACTCCTATCCATGTTAAGAGGTAGATATAGATATATCTTAAACGTGCTGTAGTTTGCTTAGCCATTCTCCTGTTGTTGAGAATTTGAGTTTTTTCTATTTTTTTTTTTCACTTTTACTAGCGGTGCTATCAACATTTTAGTACAAATTACCTTTTTAAAAAAATGTGAGTTGGGGCTTATTTCCTTGGGATATATATATTCCTGGAAGGGGGTGGGGAAGTTGAATTAATATTCTCAGAATGAATGGATGGTTTTGTGTTTTTAATATATTTCTAAGTTGTAAGCTTGTACCATTTTTACTACCACCAACAATATATACATGTACCTGTTTTCTTAAAGTTCTTTGTATCTTCCCTTTTTTTTTTTTTTTTTGCTAATTTAATAGATGTATTCAGTAAGTACTTATTGATGTATTGTTATGTTTATGAGGGCAGTGTACTGGAGAAGTATAAGATAAATTCTTTGGCTTTATAAGAATGTGTGATCTAGTAGGGGAGATGCCATGCAAAAATAATTAATACCAAACATTCTGTGAATGTTATACAATAAGAAATACAAAATGCTAGAGGAGTTCAGAAAAGGCAGAGATCGCTTTTAGTTGGGGGATCAGGGAAGGTGTGATCTGAATTTAATCTTTAAGGATAGGTGGAAATCTCATAAGTGTAAATATATAATAAGCATTTTCAATTTACATTTTTTATTATTTATGAGGTCAAGTGTTTGCCCATGTGAGGATCTACTGTTTTTCCTCATGTGTTTCTAGTTACCTTTAACCATTTACCAAGTGGAATCTAGCTATTAAATTTATATATATTTATATATTTTGGATAATAAGATTTTATCAGTTTTTTCTGTCCTTTTTTTCTGGAGCAAAGGTTTTAACTTGGAAATTAACATCCCATCCTTTAATATTGAGATTCAGTCAAAACTAAATTACTAAAAAATATTTGATTACATATTGATAGATTAGTCATCAACTGAATCATATTAAGTTCTAGGCGAAACGGTTGCTAAGTATATCCCTAATAAAAATATCAGCAAACCCTGGTTTGAAAAGGAGCATCTAAAGGAATCGGGTGGAAAGCTAAGATGTGAGGAAGATGGTGGTGTCTGGCGCAGAGCTACTTTTACCACTTGTTCCCTGAGTACTGTCCTGGCTCTCCCTCTCTGATTCCTAGGCAGAGGGGAGTGCTTTGGGCATAAAGTTGCTTAGAATCTGATCAGATCATTATTTGAACCTTGGAGTTGGAACTAGTTCTTTGTTTACCGTTTAAGGGGGCATGTGGGTTGTACTTAAAAATATATTTAGCCTAAAATTAAGAGACTTCAGTGAGAATAAATAGTGTTCTGTGCAAGGTGCTTACACTGTTTCCAGTTTGTCTCTCAAGTACCATGTCTTTTACTAGCATATCCTTTACCTTGTTCTTAAAAGAGGAAAAATAGAATATTCATTCTACAACTATTTTTTTATCCACCTAACTTGCTGGTCGTGGAGAGGTTGTGCTCAAGGAATGATAAAAGGTGGAATTGAACAGATGTGGGACTCAAACAGAAACATCTTTGTTATACCGCCATATTCTCATCAAATTGTTTTATCATTTTTAACTGTATAATCAGGAATGCAAGGAAACAGGCACCTTAGTTGTATTGCTGGTAGGTCTTTATATTCTTTATAAAAAGTTAAATTGGTCTGGCAGTATACAACAACTCAGTTGGACCTAGCCCAGTCCCATTGTTGAGAATATATCCCAAGTAGATCACTAAAATAGAAAGATATATAAACCCAAAAATATCTCCTTTATAATGCAGAATACTGGAAATAACTTATACATCCAATGACTGGGGAATGATTGAATAAATTATAGCCTATTAGTGTAACATATTGTTATGAAATGATCAAACATCAAGACAACAAAGTCTCAAAGATGTCTATAAAGTGATAATAAAGGGGGTCAGCAAAATAAGAAAAATATATACATTGATTATAGTCATTTTAAAAGAGATTTTTTGGTATACAGGCAAATTTGGAGGGGGAAACAGTAAATGTATTTTTATTTTGTTAAAATGACCATTTTTAATCAGAATATAACTAGCTTGAATTTTAGAGTTTTATTTGAAGATTTACTACATATTTGGTTTATTTCTTAGTGTTCTTTGAATGTCTTAAGTTTATGGTGATTATTTTAAAAGAATGGAGAGTAGGTAATGGTTCATTCTTTTCAACCGTGAGTGTTAGGCTTAGAAGTTGAAAAAGGAGACACTATAGGCCCTTAAGCAAGGAAGTAAAAGGTGAAAACAGTACTTAAGAAAATATTCTGGCAATTGTATACTGATTGCTCTGAAATGCAAAGAGACTAGAAGCAGAGAGATCTGCTAGGAAGATAACTGTCTTAGTTTAGGTTCACAGTGTAATTGATAATAAGGGTTTGGACTAGGATGGTGGCTGTCTGACTGGAAAGGAAATAATAAATCTGAGAGATTGTAGAGGAATTAGCAAGATGATTATCATTTGGTGATTATCACTTGGAGATTGGTAAGGAGGAGGGAAGAGTTCCTATTTTCTTGAAAAGGATGCTTAGTTAAGCTTTCAAGATAAGTTTCAACTGGCAGGACAAGTTTTTTCTGAGATATGTAGTATCTGTAGCAGGCTAAAAGGTAAAACCTGGAGATTTAGTTTTGAGTAATATCTGCATACAGATGGTAGCTTTAAAAAATGAGAATGAATGCTTCCCAGAGGAATTAGTATAAAAAGAGAAGAACAAAAACAAGAGGCCCAGAACTGAACCTTGATCAACACCCAGTTAAAGGGCAGGAAAATGAAAAACCAAAGGAGGAAGCGTTTAATAGAGTTGAAGAAACAAGAACATCACAGAAACAAGGTGTCACAGAAGCCAGTAATAGTGATTAGCCATGTCATATGCAGCTAAGAAGTCAAAAGGATAAGAAGCTAGCAACAATCATTAAACGTGTTCAAGAGAAAATCATTAGTAACCCTACTTGGGTAAGCTGGACCAATTTTAGAGGAATGATGAAGATAAAGGCCAAATAAAGAAGTTATGCAAGGAACTGGATACAGCAGGTATATGTTACCAATAAAAGCAAGTTGTGGAGAAATGGGAGAGTAATTGGTAAGAACGATGAGGTCCAAAAACAAGTGGTCTTGGTTCCACAAACATCCTCACCCCAACTCTAATTCAAAGCATGGGAAAGAATAGAAAAGTCAGTGGGCAAAGTGAAAGATTCAAGTTGTTAGGATGAATTTGAGAACTCGAGCTCTCACAAGTTTGGAAAAGATAAGATACAAAACCGAGGAGGAGGAATTGACTCTTGAGAGAAAGAAGGAAAAGACACATATATATGTAAAGATGGCTTGATCTCAAAATGGAAAAGGATACAACTTTATATGTCCTCGATTTCCAGATAGCAGTTGGTATAAAAAAAAAAATTTAGTAGTATGCCAGCTCTGTATATGAATCAACATTATGATGTGGTGGCCAAAAAAAGATAATTTTCTCTTAAATTATATTGAAAGAAATATAATGTCCAGAATAAGGGAAGTGTTCCCATGCTGTGATGATTAGACCACATCCTGTGTTTTTTGTTCAGTTCTGGATACCATATTTTAGTAAGAACATGATAAATTTAGAACTCATTTATAATGGTGAGTGTACTTTGAAACTGTCATATAAGGATTGGTTCAAGGAGCAAGGAATACTTAGCTTGAAGAGTAGAAGACATAGGTAGTCCATGATAACTCTCTTCACATATTTAAAGGGCTATCATATGACAAAGATGGAACTAGAATCCATAGAACTGGTGGGTTGGAAGCTATGAGAAGATTAGTTTTAACCTAATATATAGAACTTCCTTAACAATGAGAGCTATCCAGTCACGAAATAGACTGTCTTAGTAGGTAATGAGTTCCTCATCACTGAAAGCATTCAGGCAAAAGCTAGATTACCAATTGGTAGAGAGGTATAAAACATTCATTGATCAGGCAGAGTTGTTTGATTAGATATTTCTAGTTCTAGGATTCTATGATTGTTTGTAAAATTTGAGAAGAGCCATTTGGACAGTGGTTTCTAGGTTGGGGGTACTACCTTTGTTAATCATTCAAACCAAATCTTAAAGTAATGTAAAACCTCTCCTAGAAGTTTCTTTGTGTTTAAAAATGGCATTTGAAAGCCAACAGGTTCAACCAAGGAAATTGCTTCAGGAACTAGATATACTAACATATATACTTGATTATTACTATGACCCTTTATCAAAATAGGAGAAAAGTTTATCCTTATCCTAAGTCATACTGATCACAGTTTCCCCATTGTTCTTCATATGTCAGTTAAAGACTCAGAAATGCCCATTTTCATTTAGTGTAGTGAGCAGTCTAGGGACCAGTTTTCTCTTGCCTACTGACCTAAATTCATTCTTCAGCAATGATGAAGATATTTTTGCTCCACTGTGTGTTTGCCCACCCACATGTATGTATGTGTGTGTATATGTACATATAAATACATACTCTTACCTTCCCACGTACTAATCTTTCTATTCTCCCCAGGATAGGATTTTTGGGCCTTGGCCTCATGGGAAGTGGCATTGTCTCCAACTTACTAAAAATGGGTCATACAGTCACTGTATGGAACCGGACAGCAGAAAAAGTAAGGATATGTGGGCAATGCAACTAGAGGGCAGGATGGGAGGCAAGATGATATTTGATTTAAATATTGAACCAGACTTTGAGTAAAGAGAACTCTGCCTAGAATAGAACTTGAAACACAATTGGGCCCCTACACAGAGTTATACATGGAGTAGGGATAGGAGAGCCAAAATGCTATTTTTTTTTTCTACTTTTCATTTTTTTTTTTTTTTTTTTTTTGCTTTTTTGCTTTTTTGCTTTTCTTAGTGAGGTAATCGGGGTTAAGTGTGACTTGCCCAGGGTCACATAGCTAGTAAGCGTTAAGTGTCTGTCGTCGGATTTGAACTCAGGTCCTCCTGACTCCAAGGCCAGAGCTGTATCCACTGCGCCACCTAGCTGCCCCAAAAATGTTTTGGGTTTTTTTTTTTTCGTAATATATACAGTATAGTAGAATAGCTGAAAGGGAATACCAGAGAAACAGATCTTCTCAAGTTGCTTAAGCTTTTGATGAGGTGACAGAATGTTTACATATGAAATGTTTTAACAAATTACCTAGGATAAATTAAAATGTTACAGTATTGAATGTTGAAAGAATTTGGAATGAAGAAGTAAGCAGAATAAAGATAGGGCTGATCAGGAAAGGGCTTCCTGGAGGGGAGAGGGAGTTTGGGGCTGGGCTGGGAAGGAAATTTTGGACATAGATTGATGAAGTTGAAAGTAGAAGGTATTCCAAGTGAAGGGAACAATTTTTGTCTGGACATTAATTTTGGCTAGAGCCAGAGTCGTGTTGAAAGATAATGAGAAATGACTGAGTTAGAAAGGAGGTGATAGCAAAAGTTGAAAGCCAGGCTAAGTAGTTTGGATATTATGGTGGGTGGTAGGGAACCATCAGATCTCTGAGCAGGAAAGTGATATGGTGAAATGTTGTTTGAATAATGTTCCAAGTTCTTGCCTAAATTATGAAAGAACTAATGGAACCTAGTATCTTTGTAATGCTAGGCAAGTCATTTAACCTCTGGATCTCAATTTCCTCAGCTATGGTGTCCCTTCTGTTCTAAATTTGATTCTGTGACTAAGTAACCAAATGGAAGCTTTAGAATAGTTGGGAGGGACCTATGAAAAGTTTTAGGAGCCATGCTTTCATAGGAGCTTTTGGTTTGTTTGGGTTTTTTTGGTTTTTTGTTTTTTTATTAGTATAATTGACCCTTGGAATTAGGCTCCTGGATATAGTACATTTTGACATTCCTCCACCCCACCACAAGCCACAAATTAGAGACTTAGTACTTTTTCTCTTGTGCTGCATACAGTATATTAGTCAGGACTTGTACAGAACCTCCCACAAGAGCTGATCTAACTCCAGAGCCTTCCACAGTTCACCTTCGTGGTTCTTGAAGTTGGCCTCACTGGCTCCACTGGGTTCATCTCTAGTAATATGCCCAAGTGGACTCAGCTGTCCCGCTCTCACCCTTTTAAACAGTAGATTAGCAATAGCAGCAAACATTCACTAACTGCCTATTATAATTAGGTTAAAAGGGACATAGTTATACTTATTTATAATCTAGTCAGGAAAGTCACCATTCCTTCATAGTGATATATACAGCTGCTGGTCAGGTGTTGTCATTGACCCCTTAAGTCTTCTGCCTTGTAGTGCCTTTGGAGATAAGCTGAGGCAACCAGAGGCCACAAAACCTAGGAGGCATGTTTGTTATGTGCTACCTTCTTACGTTTGGATCTGTGACTTTTGCAGTGTGATTTGTTCATCCAGGAGGGGGCCCGGCTGGGAAGAACCCCCGCTGAAGTGGTCTCCACCTGTGACATCACCTTCGCCTGTGTGTCGGATCCCAAAGCAGCTAAGGACGTAAGGATCCCCTCTCTCCTCTCTCTAGTTGCCTCTCTTGTGAGAGATTGACCACTTGTCCTTTTATTATTCAGAAAATAGTGTACATCAAACTCTAGAGGAATTCAATTTCAGATCTCCTAGTTACTTGCTTGTGTGAAGTTGATTTGCATAAAATAGATTTTTGTAAACAAACTTCTTTTGACTCAAAACATGGGTTTAAAACCCTGATATCTCCAGAGGACTAGCCTTGAAAGTATTATTAAAAATCTGTGCTTTTCCTTATATGCTTTAAACTCTTGTTCTTATTATATCTATATGCCAAAGCATTCTTTCTGTGTTTGGTAGCTATTTGTGTTTCTTTCTTATATGCTTAAATGGCAGTGGTCACCTTTTTAAACTGTTTAAGACAGACCTGAGTAAATCAAGGAAAGCTCTAAATAAAGGTAAACAATGCCTTTTCTTCCTTTTTAGGCTAAATATTTAGCTCCTAGACATCTGAGAAGGTAGTATGGGAACAACTTGACTCTGAACTATGTTTAATTATAATATAACCACTGTTCAGAAAGACATTGCTCAGGTGGACCACGTCCTCCACAGCTAGTGCCTTGGCTCTACAGTCAGCCTCTGATGTCTGGGTCTGGCCTTAGCCTGATTGATGCTTCCTTCACTATTATTGGGGGAGGAAGGAATATTGAGAGTCAAAAATTATTTGAGAGCTCGAGGGTGGGGAAACAGGCCTTGAAGCTGTTGAGGGCCTGGGCTATTGCTTTCCCCTTGTGTTCCCACAGCTGGTGCTGGGCCCTAGTGGCGTGCTTCAAGGGATCCGCCCTGGAAAATGCTATGTAGACATGTCAACGGTGGATGCAGACACGGTCACTGAATTGGCCCAGGTAGTAGTCCAATGCAAACTCTCCCACTATTTCTAAGTGAATTACATGGTCAGGATTTGAGCATTCTTTCATCTGGCCATTCTAGAGACTGGTCTGTAAAGAAGAGATTCAACAATGTTAATCTGTCTTTAGTGAAACCTAAAGCAATAGTGAGTCTAATCTGTGTTTAGGGAGATACTACCTAAATGGCTGGAGAATCAGTTCGTGGGACTGCTGACTACTGACTACAAAAAGCAGCATCCCATCATGACCTATCAAAATGTAGACTTTGGTTTAATAGGCTTTCTCTAACTGATAGAGAAAAAAAGTGTTTCTGCTTTCCCAGAGAACAACCTGGGTTAACACTCTAGAAATCCTCAGATCTTTGTCTTCCTTGGCCCAGGTATATAAAAGCAGTTCTTCCATATCCTTATTTGGAAGACTGGTGTGGCTTCCTCCAGAATCATTGGCCCTTATATATTCTCTTGGCCTCTGTGAAGCCTTTCTGTTTGAGGGTAGTTGAAATCACGATGTAACTGGCCACCTGAGCACACCTTGTGAAAGACAGGACCATGAGGTAAATGGCACTGAAGCAAGGGAGTTTTTTGCAGTGCTATATACATGCTCACAATGTTTTCAGTTCAGTAGGAAACTTCGAAGTAAAAAGGGCCTCTTAATTAGATTTGTGCCTTTGTACCTTCTCCATTCCATCTCCTAAACAGTTGCCAGCATAATCCTCCTAAGATACAAGTCTGACCATTTTACTCCCTAACCTCACGAACCATTAGTGACTTCTCCTTGCCTTGAAGATAAAATACAAACTCATTACCTTGCCATTTAAAGTCCATTACAGTATGCTTATTGGTTTTATTTCTCATAACTCCCCTTCACACACTCTGTTTACTTCATGTCTAAACACAACATTCCAGCTCCCACTTCCATGCCTTTGTATGGACTGTCTGAAATATACTGCCTCATCACCTCTGCCTCTTAGAATTTCTAGTTTCTTTCAAGGCTCAGCTCATGTGCCATCTCCTATAGGAAGCCTTTCCTGATTCTCCTAATTGTCAGTGCCCTCTCCCTCCTCAGGTGATCATGTATATATCAATTTGTTTAACAATTCCTACCCCCTCAGTAAAATATAAGCTCCTTGAGGTCACAGAATGCTTATTTTGTCTTCGTATTCATACTCCCTAGCAGTGTGCTTACATAATAGTAGGAGCTTTAAGAAGTGCTGGTTGATTTGAATTGACAGACCGCAAGTAATTTTTTCTTGTTTCTTGTTAGTTCCACTTGAAGTAGTGTCTGTCTTCAGGAGAACAATCTTCATGCCACAGCCTCAGTTCTTATATTACAGCACAGGTTTTTAAGCCTTGGGGTCCCAAGCATAGATAGCCAAGTTTTTATGTTCCTTCACCTCTAAATGCATGCATGGGAAGAAGATGATGAATAACCTAGGCTCATTTGAAGATTAAGCCTAGGTGGGAATGGGAAAGCAACATTTTCCAGTAGGTTCTGCCATCTTCGCTTGTCCATTGTGTTCTATACCTAGAGAACATCAACCCTACATGGATACCTGTGGGAGGAACAGCCTTCAGAACCTGTGAATTTCCTTTCCAGGTGATTGTGTCCAGGGGTGGTCGATTTCTAGAAGCCCCCGTCTCAGGAAATCAGCAGCTGTCTAATGATGGGATGCTAGTGATCTTAGCAGCGGGAGACAGGGGCTTATATGAAGACTGCAGCAGCTGCTTCCAGGCAATGGGGAAGACCTCCTTCTTTCTAGGTAACATGCCTGCCTGCCTGCCCTACCACTTCAGACCTGGATTCTGGGTTGGGTCATATACCCTATAGACTGCACTGATGACGGCGTCAATTACAGCCTCTCTGCCTGGGTCCCCCAATGGGAAGGTTTCCTTTGATTTGCACACTCAGTACCTGGAAGGAGGAAGATGCAAAGGTCCAGAAGGGTCAAAACCAGTTCTATCACGGGCAGGTGAATGGGGCCTCCCCTGGGTTTAGAGGTGGGTCCAGGTAGATGGGTATCAGAACAGGGATGAGGGTGGAAAGCCACTCATTACGGGAGTCCTTTGTGAAAGTGATCATGTTTTTTTGCCCTGGGCAGGTGAGGTTGGGAATGCAGCCAAGATGATGTTGATTGTGAATATGGTCCAGGGAAGTTTCATGGCTACCATAGCTGAAGGACTGACGCTGGCCCAAGTGACAGGACAGTCTCAACAGACATTGCTTGACATCCTCAATCAGGGACAACTGGCTAGCATCTTCCTGGATCAGAAGTGCCAAAGTAAAGTCCAGTTTTGTTTGTCATTTTCTCCTTCCTGTTTTATATCAAACATCCTTGTGTTGTGACTCCGTGACTGAACTTAACATCTTACACATGAGGATCTGGGTTCATGTTGAGTAGAGGAAGCCTAAATGCTTCCTTCATAACATTCCTCATCTCTTACCATTCTGTATTCTTTTGTGCCAGAGGGGTTACAGAACAGTTCGGTGGTGGAACTTGTTTATTCTGGAATCAAAACTCAGTTTCTTGAGTTTCTGAAGGAGAATGTGGTATGGGGATAGTCATCTTTGTTGAAGATAATACAACTGCTGGTGTACTTTTCTAGATGGAGTTTATTTTCTAGATAACTTTCACTAAAAGTTGCTCCCTTCCCCTCCCCCCCCTTTTTTAAGATTTTTATGACTTTGAAAAAATTCCCTGGTTTTTTTCCCCTCTAGATATTCTACAAGGGAACTTTAAACCTGATTTCTACCTGAAGTATATCCAGAAGGATCTCAGATTAGCCATTGCACTAGGTGATTCTGTCAACCACCCAACTCCTATGGCAGCTGCAGCAAATGAGGTATATTCAGGATTGTTTCTTATTCTGAGACTGGGAAGAGAAAATTAAAGTTTGAAGAACCGTTAAGTAACTGTCAGGAGGGAATATAATAAGGGAAAAAATGCTACAGGTAGGACTGGACCACTTTATCTAGTGAACAAGCAGGAGGGGCACTACTATATTTGAAACCAAGCATTTGAATGAACCATGTGGCTCTTCACCTCCAACTCCTATCTCCCCTAAGTGGGCATTTAATAATAAATGTTTGTTGGATTGGATTGAAGTGACTTGATCACGTAGATGGTAACTTCTCAGAGATTCAAAGCTTGTGACTTGTAATAATTCTGTATCTTACCTTCTACCGTATCATATCATATAGTGCTATATATAGTAGATTGCTGTTATAATTTATTTACAACCTTTAAATATTTCTGAGGACAAAGAACTAACCATAATTCTTTGTCATTTCAGGTATATAAACGAGCCAAGGCACTGGACCAGTCTGACAATGACATGTCTGCTGTGTACCGAGCCTACATACACTAAGCCCTGAGGCCCTATCTTCCTTCTAATCCCCATTCCTCACATGGGGTCAGGGTCCTGGGACTTAACTCTGGACCAGTCCATCTGTCTCTGTTTCCTTTTATACACAGACTTTGAAAAGATTTGCCATGAGTGCAGCTGCAGCATCAGGCCTCCCCTGGGGGCTCAAGGAAAAGGGGGGAGGGGGTGGGAAAGGTGATGTTGGATTGTGAAAAACTAATGAGCAGTCCTGCTGTGCACTTGCTGCCTGGATCAGAATGGTGGCCATGTGTTCAGACAGGCCCTGCCCCCCACCTCCTTTGACCCCTAGAAGTGATGCTGCCAGAATCTGCTTGGCTTCTTTCTCCTTCCTGAGTTTGTCAGAGTCTGAGTTCCTCCTAGCAAAGGGGGCCAGAGCCCATCTTCCCCTCTTTCATTGGGGTTTTAAAGAAGCAGCCTCCATAGTGTCCTAGTTGCGAAGTACGAGTTCCTCATACTCTTGGGAATGGCTCTTATTCCTTTTGATCCTACCCTAATTTGCCTGGGAATATAGGCTGCTCCATTGGGAGGCCACCTAGGTCTCCCATGTCAGCACATCCCCCAGGGAAGAGGACAATGAGGTGGCACAGACCCCAGAAAGGGGCCTACAGTACCTCAGGCTACAAGCAACCAGTTGGAGAGCATTTGGGTATTTAAGCCACCAACATTCTGAAAAAGAGAACTAGTAAACTAATTCCTCCTTACATGGTTTTATGAACTGGAAAGATTGCAGGTTTGAGTGAAGAACAGGCCCACCCCAACATCACCATCCCATCACAGTAACTACCATTGGCTCAGGCTGAAATTGGAATCCCTGGCCTTTATGAGGCTACTGGAAGGGGTTTATCCAATGTAGATGGGATTTAGCCATCACCAACCTGATTTAGTGTTTGGATTTGCATTCTGGCCTGGGGGGGGGGGGGCAGTGAGCACACCAATGAGAGAGCAGTGAGGTGTGTGTGGAAGAATGACTCCTTTCTGTTTCCGTTATGTCACATGCTCTTCTGACTCCTTTTGGAGTCCTCTTGATATCCCCTTTAGACCCTTCCATCTGTGTCCATACAGAGAGCCCTGTTGTGCATGCCACCACCTTTTTCTTCCTACCCATCCCTGTCTTTGAAGAGACAGTGAGTGTCTTTTTACCTACTTTGACCCAGACCTAGCTTCCCTTGCCCTGGGTAACCAACACTGACCAATCATGGGATCAGTTCTTAGTAAAGGAATGAGTAATTGCACTCCAGCCAGCATCATGTTCTTTGTGCCTCTGGGGCCACAAGGTCCCCTGTTTGGGGAAAGAGAAGACTTGACCTGAGATGAGTCCTGACAAACTAGAAAGGTAAACCCAAGCCCATCTTGGAGATTCCTGTTTTCTCTTTGGGGAGGTTACCCGCATGGGACTGAAGTGGTGCATAAGAACAAGGAGAGGCTGTCATCCCTGAAATCCTAAATCTACCTTCCCATTTCTGTGGGTTGGTTTTCACATAAAGCTTAAGGTTGATATTCGTGGGGGGAGGGAGGGGAGGATTCAGTGACAGCTCTGTGGGTGTAGTTTGTTTTTGTTTTGTTTTTTTTTTCCAGCATCTAGAGGTTTGTCCCTCTTTCCCCTTTATCTCTTACAGCCTAGGTTTGAGAAATGAAACTTGTGGAAGAAGAGGGGACACAGGGAAGATGCAGTATCATTCTGGTCCAGATGTTTGTTTCACTGGCAATACTGACCTTATCTCTGTCTCTGAACATGCCAGTTCTGTTCCTGGCCAGGATAGTGGGAGGGGTGGGGGGGAGGGAAGGGAGAAGCTCTGGATCTGGGAGATGCTGTAATGAAACTGGCTAGTCAGTGTTGTCTTAATATTGTTGACAATTCTGTAAAGGTCCTTTTTATGACTTTGTTTTAGCTATTTCGCTTTTGTTTTTGACTCCTTTTTAAAGAGAAAATGTGACATTTGTGAAAAGCCTGTAAGAAAAGCAGTTTTCCTTTTCCCTCTTTCAATGACAAACCCTCTAGGTAATTAAGGTTGTGAATTTTTATTTTTGCTTTGTTTTTTAATTAACGTTTGTCATTCAGAATAGGATTGTGTGATAATGTTTAAATGGCGAAATAAAATGATTTTGTGCAATTAACAAAGCTACTGCAAGAAAATAAAAACCTTTCTTGGTAAATCCATGTGTTTGTGTGAATATAAATCTTAGGACCAGTAGGTGGGAGGGCTTGAAGGGTTGGAGGGCTCTGCCGACGATAGAGGAAGAGGCTACGGAGAGAGCCAATTATCTTCCGCCAAAAGGTGTTCTTTTTCTCTATTTCCACTTGTCCATCAGCCGATCCGTGAGTAGAGTGGAAACAGGCTGTCCAATTAAAGCAGCGGGGAGGCTAGAGAAAGGATGCAGCAACTAGCTGTTTCCTACCTAGAAGAGCTTGGCTTACACAGCGGGAACCGAAGGGCAGGCCTGTCAAGACTATCAAGACTAGAGAACAGAGTGTAGAGGGAGGGCTGTAGTCTGTCTACGAGCTCTGCTAAATGGGGAGGGAGCAAGAGGTAATTAAACCAATTAAATTGTGAATTGGCGTCTTCGCTACCTATGAGAGCAAAGGCCGGGCTCCAGAGGCGGCCTATGCGCTCACAGGAGTCTATCAGCCTATTGGCTGCGGCGTAGGAGGCGGGGCTTGGCACTCGCGTAGGTTGGGAGGCTGGGCTGAAGGCCGGCGACCGCCCCGAGCGACGCTTTCGGAGTTGGCTGTGATGGCGACTGCAATGGCTGCGACGGCGGCGGAGCGGGCAGTTCTGGTGAGTCTCCCGGGCCGGCCCGCTCCTGGACACTCCCTCCAGACGGACGCCTGCCCCTGCGGGCCCACCTCGGAGCCCGGGACCGGAGGGGCCTGCCTAGGGGTAGGGCCTGTTTACCCCTTGCAGTGCTTGGGAGCGCCCGGGGCCTGGAACGCCCCCACCCCCTGCTTCCCCAGCCCTCCCCTCCCTCCCGCCTGTGCCCCTGCAGGGCCTGGCTGGGGGCGCCGCTTATCCCCCTCTCCCCACGGGCAGGAGGAGGAGTTCCGGTGGCTGCTTCACGACGAGGTCCACGCTGTGCTGCGCCAGCTGCAGGACATTCTCAAGGTAACCTTCCTCCGCCCCTGGGCTAAGCATTTATCCAGGGCCTTCTCTGTGTCAGGCATTGTGCTAAGCAGCTTACGTTCATTTGATCCTCACCACAGCCCTGGGAGGTAAGTGTTATTATCCCCATTTTACTGTTGTGGAAATTGATAAAGGTTAAGTGACTTGCCCAAGATCACAAGACCACTAAGTGTCTGAGGCTGCATTTGAACTCCAGCCCCATTGCTACTTAACTGCCTCCTCTCAACACTAAATCCACGTTCCTGTTGTCCCTTCCTGCACTTCATTGACCCCCAGGAAGATCCTGGGGAGTGGGTATGACTTCTATACCATGAAACTGAGGTTTGCCTGGCAGTACCTTACGCCTTGGGGAATACACTGTGGAATGGACCTCTAGCTGTGGCGGTGGCCTTAGGGGCAAGGAATAGACTTGGTTATGCAGACTTTGCCTGCTCATTAAGGTGGTGTCTCTGCAGTAGGTTTTGAGTAGGAAATTCTGTTTTAGTAGTTTTCCCTTGCAGTGGGCTTAGAACTCTGCTCTATGTGGCAACATTAACTTTAATCCTTTTCTCAACTTACCACCCCTCTCTCCTAATCTACAACAGGAAGCCTCTTACCGATTCACTCTGCCCGGGACCGGAACAGAAGGACCAGCCAGACAAGAGAACTTCATCCTTGGCAGCTCAAGGTTAAGTATGGGGAAGAAAGTTGAGGTTGATGTAACTCAAGATAAACATGTTATCTCTGAGGTTAATGCAGAGGTCCCTGTTGCATCATCACTTAGTCTTTACCTTGGGTATAAAGTAGGGACAAGAGAGTGAGGGAGAGTCATAGGATAACAGAACCCAAATTGGACCATCTTTGCTGTCTAATCTCATCTTAAATGTTGGCAGCTTGGATGTCCATATGGGGTAAAAGAAGGTTGCAGATAACAGCTATTTTTACCCACACTAAGAGCCTAACTATGTCCTCCTAAGTGCTTATATTCCTACAAGAGGTACTAAAGTCTCTGGCATCTCTTCACAAACCGTGGGGGTGTCTGGTTTGAAATTTGTTGTGGGAGGTGAGTTGAGGAGGCTGAGGGACGGTCAAGGATTATACTCAAGCAGAGGGAGGTGTCTATGGGCTTGAAGAAGGGACAGGCAGGGAACGGGCTTTGCCCTGACAGTCATGTGTTACAGCACTGACCAGGTGAAGGGTGTGCTGACTCTGCAAGGGGACGCACTGAGCCAAGCGGTGAGTCTTTAAGGGGAGGATCCTGCCCTTTCCCACCTCTTTCCTTTTGTTTATGTGTTCTCAAATTAGAATGCCCTCCTCCCACCTTTGCCTGCTGAAACCTTATACATTGTTCAAGGCCTAGCTCAAATCCCACCTCCTCTATGAAGCCTTTCCTAGATCCCTCAACTATGTGAGGTCTCTCCTTCAGAAATTCCATAGCACTTTACACCTCTTACCTGCGTGATCCTCATGTGTGTATTTTTCCTTTCCACATTTGCTAGATGTTAAGCTTCTTGAGGGCAGCATCCTAGCACAGGGTCTTGTGCACAAGTAGCATTAAACAAAGGCTTATTAAATGAATGGATGCTTGGAAACTGGCCTGTAACAGAGCAGAGAACTTCATCCTTGCTGCTAGATCCTGAGAAGACCAAACTTTTTGGTTTTGCTGTTTTTTTCTTATCAGGGACAGGTTTTTTATTAGTGTTACTCAGTTATCTGACTCTGTTTTCCTTCTCGCTCTGATCTCAATAATATTAGCAAAGATTTCTTGAATTCCTGCTGTATGCCAGCCATATTTTTTTGTTTTTTGTTTTTTATTTTTTGCTAAGGCAAGTAGATAGGGATACAAAATGATGTGAGGTACAGCCTTTGTCCTCAGGAAACTTACAGTCTAGCTATTTACTACCTTCCTCAAAAGATCACTTATATCAAGTAGAAGAGCTTTTCTGTCTCTTGTCTCCTCTTCTCCCAACTTTCCCTCTTTGTGGGCTTTCCTCTCTCTGAACCTGGATCCAGCATCATTCCCCAGGATCTCTGATCCTTTTGGGATCCCAGGTTTCCATATGAACCTCCAGCCCGTAGTGAGTGTGGTGGGCCCTTACTGCCCCAAGCTTCTGATGATATTTTTTATCCTAAGGGTTCTTGTTGCTTGTGATTTTGTGGAAGGCAAAAAGAGAACACACAGTAAGCTGGCATAGGAAATTCAGGCATCTCCCATTTGATCTGCTGCTGTCGTTTGTTGTTTCTCAGGATGTGAATCTGAAGATGCCCAGAAATAACCAGCTGTTACACTTTGCATTCCGAGAAGACAAGCAGTGGAAACTGCAGCAGGTAATTCTCTCTCTGTCTGTGCAACTGTATTCCAGTCCCTCCCCAGGCCTAACTCCCTCCCGGCCTCACCATCCCCACACAGCCCTTATCTCAGAAGGCTGTGGTTAGGTGTATGTGATAATGGCATTTCAGGAGTCAAGGGCCCTGGTCATCAAGGGATTGGGAAGATTTGCTGGATATTAATTGATACTAAAGTGCTGGCCTGGGATGGTTGCTTCCTGGAGGTAGAGCTGAGGGGTTGGAATCTCTGGCCCTAAGGATTCTGTGACTGATATTGCTCCATCGCCAATGTCTTGGTTCAGGAATGAGTGCGGGTCATGCATGTTTGGGAAGCACACATCGTACTTCCCCAAAACTCCCCTCGTGCATGTATATACATACACTCTGCACACAAAGAGGCTTCTGTCACATAGACATACTCTCATAAAAGTATGAGGGGAACTGATCCAGGGTTTGACAAGCACTGAGCTTGAGGGGAGATTTACTGCACTGTACTCAGAAGGCAGTGAATCAAGTCACCTAGAGGGTTCTGAATTGACTCCCAGTTCTGACTAATGATAAATAAAGCCATCTCCTAGTAGTGTGTTCCTCCCCCCAACCCATACTTGGGTGGGTGGTGTGGGTTTTGTGTCTTTCAGATCCAGGATGCCAGGAATCACGTTAGTCAAGCAATTTATCTCCTTGCCAACCGGGATGAGAGCTACCAATTCAAGACAGGAGCTGAGGTCCTCAAGGTAAGCACAGAGACTGAGTCTGGGGGAAAGATTCTGAAAGGGAGAATGTGGACCTAGTGATGGCTTCCCTTTTATACCTTAATCCCTTTCATCCTCAAGGCTGTCTTACTTCCATACTTCTCCCTACTCTGACAAATCCTGTGACTCTGAAAGCCTTCAGATGTCTGCTTCCAGGATATTTTTATAGTACCAACAGAGAATAGGTAAATTTTGGGCCTCTGAAACCCACATCCAAATCAGGAGTACTAAGTGGAAAATAGGCTATTGAGTGAAAGGAGTGGGCTGTTACTCTTTAATTCCTGTATTCAACTATATGCCCTCAATACTCACTTTTACTGCCCTCAGATTATGGCAGTGAAAGGAATAAAGTTGTCCCCATCCCAAGGGGAAAGCAGTTCATCCTGTCTCCCCAAATCCTCAGTTCCTACTGGCCGCTTCTGGTTGGGGGAGGCAGTGCTCACCCACTAGCTTCAAAGAGAAGTTGTGCCTCTTAAGAGCCTTCAGAATGTGTGTAGAGTACCTAAAGGAACCTTTGGAATCACAGTGTAGACTTTGTTCAGAGCTTCCATGATCTCTGTAGCTTGACTTGAAGGAATCTGATGGCCCTTACCCCACCTGCCCATTTGAGAAACAGGCATTTCTGGAGCTTGGGGCTTTGACCAGTTCTCCCCTGGGAACTGCTATGACAATCATGTCTGTTCCCAGCTAATGGATGCAGTGATGCTGCAGCTAACCCGAGCACGAAATCGGCTCACCACTCCAGCTACACTCACCTTGCCCGAGATCGCCGCCAGTGGCCTGACGGTCAGTAGCCGACACAAACTTGCAGTATTATGTGGCTCATTTGGGGTAGAAGTCCCTGTCCCCGTCATTCCCAGGTGAAGAGTGGCTAGCAAAGTCAGGGGATCACTATAGAGAATTGAGTGATTGCCCACCAAGGATGCCTTTCTCCTTCCTGCATGTCTTTCCCATTCTCTAGTTCAGGGATTCTTAACCCCGGGATCTGGCCCTTGGTTTTATTTTGTGACTGAGGTGTTGCTCTTTTGGTCATGATTTATGTTATGATAACTTATTTCAGTATATTTGGTTTCCTTTATAGACCTATTTCTTTTATGTGTTTATTAAAACATTTCTGTGTGAAGGCTTCACCAGCTGGCACAGAGTCCTCTCAGGAATCCCTGCTATAGAGAGACAAGCCCAGAGTTCAGTGCCTCAGTGGCAGAGCTGCAGAGAGACAGCTTTAACCTCAGTGCCTGGGAAGGTCAAGCGAAGGCCTTGTAGCATTTCGCTCCTCTTGGGGCCTGGGATGGGCAGAGGGAGGGCAGGGTGGGAGATAGACTGCCAGCCAAAGGCCAGGCCACTGTTGCTACCTCTTCCCATACCCTGATTCTGACTTATGACACCTCAAGTGCGTGGTCTGACCAGAGGCTGCATCTACACTTCCCGCAGAGGATGTTTGCTCCTGCTTTGCCTGCAGACCTTCTGGTGAATTTTTACATCAACCTTAATAAACTCTGCCTTACCGTGTACCAGCTGCACTCTCTGCAACCCAGCTCCACCAAGGTAATGAGCTTCCCCAAAACACCACTGCCCATGCAATACTCTTGTGCCCACCCTCAGACCCACACAGCTGTACCCTGGCTTTGCTTCCATCAAGAGAAATCCCATGGTTACTCTGGGTGGGGTGGACCAGAGATGCTGCCGGCTGGCTGACTGCTGGTGTGTCTGCCCTCACGCTAACGTCATTATCTCTGATGCTTTGTTTAGAACTTCCGCCCTGCAGGGGGTGCTGTACTTCACAGCCCGGGCGCCATGTTGTAAGTACTCACTTTGAGGCAATGAGTAGAAGGAGCATGTGTCCCCAGGCCTCAACACCTCTCCCCATTCACCTTGGGAGCAGTCCTGTGTCCTACTGAAAACTCATCCAGGGTCCTTCCAGCCCCAGCCAGGGGCCCAACTGGGGCCCTCCTCTCTGTGTTCCCCTTTCCTAGAGTTGCCTATCCCCTCTCCCACTTCTCCTTCCCTGTGTTGACTGCAGTGAGTGGGGTGCCCAACGCCTGGAGGTGAGTCACGTGCACAAGGTCGAGTGTGTGGTTCCCTGGCTCAATGATGCCCTCGTCTTCTTCACTGTCTCCCTACAGCTCTGCCAGCAGCTCAAGGACAAGGTGGGCAGCCAAAGTTTGTGGATCCTGGGGTGACAAGGCGGGGAGACTTCTGGGTTTTCCACCAGCAGCTTTCAAAGGCCTTCCTAGCAGGGTAGTTAGGACCAAAGCAGACTTCATTCATGTAGTGTTCCCTGATGTGATGGTCCTGGCAGGTCCAAGCCTAGGGTAGACCGCATTAAAACAGTTAACTAAGGCCTTATGCTTCTGATGCTCAAGCTGCTTTGGGGACCTTCTCAGGAAGGAAACTTTCATTAAGTGCTTGGTGTCCCTAGGTTATATTTTCAAAAGGTTGGAGGCATTTATGTAAAAGCCTCACAATCCCTAAACAGAATACATGGTCAGCATTTTTTTCCTCCCCTTCCCTTCCCTTTGCACAAATACCATCAAGCTGCATATCTCAGCCCTTTGCTAAAGTTTCCCCTGCCTCTTTCACCTGTCTGAAATTGTTACAGAGGTTGGGAGCACAGTGATCCTTTACCCAATTTAGGAATATCCCTCAGCCTGAGTACTAAGAGCTTGTGAAGGGGCAGACAGTATTGGGGGAGGGAGAAGTACAAAGCAGGGAGGGCTCCTGCTGATGTTGCTTTGTTCTGTCCCCAGATCTCAGTCTTCTCCAGCTACTGGAGCTACAGGCCCTTCTGACCAAGAGAAGCCTCTGACAAATTTCTCCCAATAAAGAAGGTGCCTAGTCCATGGATTTGGTCCCTAAGAAGACTGAGCCAACCCCCAGGAGTGAGTCCCTGGAGGATGCAATATAGACAAGGTGCAGCATGCAGCTGGCTCTGCGTGGGTACAGTGCATTATTTATTTCCCTCATGGCCCCCAGGCTTTGAGAGGCCCTCTCTGCCTGTTAGAGTTGCATGAATGATAACAAACACTGGACGTGGGTCTGAGGCCAGAATGGGACATGAAGGGAACTCTTCAGGTACAACTGCATTGGTGATGGAGGCCAGTGCTGGGGAGCCCTGGGGCCCCAGAGACTGAGGACGCGTGTTATGAAGATTGGAATCCAAAGGTTGAGGTTGAACGGCGGCCAGAGGGCCAGCCCTGCATTCCTACCGCCAGCTTCCTGGGATGTTGATAACCTTTGGACCCAGAGGGAAGGAGGAGCCCAGGCTGAAGTGCTCTAGTTCTTTTCCCTCTCCTCAACACCAGAGCTTCCTCTGAGAACCACAGTCCCCACAGCTCTGTGGAGACAGTACTGCAGACTGGGGGGGGGGGGGGGGGGCCTGGGGCTGGGGGTGTTGTTCTGTGAAGGTATCAGTCATCCACTAAGAAATAAAGAGTCAAGATCCAAGCCTTTGTACCTGTGTCTGTCTTTGGCATGGGGAGGACATGGAGATTGATGCTCCTATGCAAAGATGGATTGTGTGTGGGTGTCTGTTGGAAATGTGTGTAAACACCCCTGAGACAGGTAGTTTTTTGTTTTGGTGTGCTCGGGCTTTTCCCCAGTGGCCTAGCTTGCTGTCAGTAGTATTCCATGGGCATAAGGCGGAGCCGTTTGTCGCCCAGGATGCTCAGAACACAGCAAGAGCAAGCCTGGGGGGAGGGAGGGGTGGCGGTGGCGGGGATGGGGAAGGAAGGTGGGGAGAGACTAAGGTTGCCAGAGAGATGAAGTGTGACTTCTTTAATGTTGCTCCAGGGTGTGGGCTATGGGTGAGCTGGTGCTGGTCCTGATTATCAAGAAGTCTGCATCCAAGGCCTTCTGGCAGTGGCACTGGACTATGGCTCCAGGGCTAAGTTGTCTACGCCCTTGGGTCTTCTCTGCAAGAAAGTGAAGAGTCTTTAAAGACAGTGTGGTTTATGCAGCATGACTGCAGGGCAGTCCCTGGGCCAACAAGAAGTGAGATGGGGAAAGAGCTGAGCTGGAATCGGGGGTCCACTGGAGGGGCCTCAGGGACAGGTTACCTTTGGGGGGCTGGAGGAGTTGCAGCAGCAGCAGCAGCAGTGCAGGAAGACAAGGAGCGTCAGCACCAGTACAGTCCCTGAGGGGCAGGAGGAAAGATGTTGTTACCGGAAGCCTTGGCAAGGAGGAGGTCACTCAGGAATCAGAAGAAAGAGGCTGTGGTCACACTGACTTGGAGCAGTGGGAATTAGGACTGCGTCACTCAGGTGGGTTGGGGATGCTGGCCGCACTGACCCAAGTAGGTAAGAGTGAGGAAAGACGAGAACCAAGGCCGCAGTGATAGATGGTGGGGACTAGGGGGAGATCTGGAGGGCTATCGCCGTACTCACCAACGAAGGTGAGGAAGACCACAAAGGCTGCAATGTCCCACTCGGACTGAAACAGATGGCGGCTTTTTAGTCGGCTCAATAGCTCTTGTGCAGTCTCCTGCAGTTCGCTCCCCACGTCCCTGCTGGATGGAGCCATCCCTGTGAGTCCTTGGGCGCCTATCTCACCCCCATCAAGGAAATCAAGAACACAACAGAGTCCAGTTATTCCCTTTCCCTGCCCCCAACTTCCTACTGGCTCTAACCCAGCCCAAGGCTGGGGGGATGGGGCAACTAGATGGCTCAGGGGATAAAGCTCTAGCCTCGGAATCAGGAGGACCAGAGTTCAAATCCGGCCTCAGACATTTGACACTTACTAGCTGTGTGACTTTGGGCAAGTCACTTAACCCCAATTGCTTCACCAAAAAAAAAAAAGAAAAGAAAAGCCAAGTATCGGGGGAAAGAATCCCAGCTCCTTGAGTGACCTTGGTCACTTAACTTCCCTGGGCCTCACATTCTTCATCCATAATGAGGGAGACAGTCTTTTGAGGTCCCTTCCAGCTATGAATCTGTGACTGAGTGAGGTGGGGCAATCACAAGATTCAAAGGCAGTCCATTCCTTCCTAAGTCTAGCCCTGGGCATAGATGCCAACAGGAAGTGTCAGTTTGCACCTACCCCCTCCCTCTTTTGTTGTCCCTTCATGGAATACAGAAAAGCAGAGAACCATAACCTGACTTTACCTCCCCCCAACTTAACTCCTCCAAACTCCTAAGGCAGTCCCCACTGAACCCCCAATTAAATCCCTATGCTCTTACCTTAGAGAGGAATGCCCCGTCTGCTGGAGACAGCACCACAGCTTCCTGCTTCCTAGTCTGGCTGCACCTGTGGCCACCCAGCTCCTCCTCCAACCTCTGGGCAAGCCCAGTTCAGCCCAGCCCAGCTGAGCTATAGCCAGTGTTTCAGGGAACAAAGAGTTGAAGGCCAAAACTGCCCAGGTTTACCACCGACACAAACATTGGGAGTGGGAAAGGGGAGCACTCCTCCATCCCAAAGGGCTATGCTTTCTGCAAGATACCTGAAACGTGTCCTTGAACCATAAGGCCCTAGGGAAAGTGAGGGTATCGATCACTCATCCTCAGTAAGTGTGTCTACCCAACGCACACTCTCTCTGTCTCTCTCTCTCTCTCTCTCTCTGTCTCTCTCTCTCACCAGAGCTTCTGTCGAAGGAGGAGAAAGATTTTGAAAAAGCTTAGAGAATCAAGGAGCAGAGAGAACAGGCCCTAGGAAGTTAAGATGGCATGATGGGGATTGAAGAGGAGGAGGAGGGCAGATTTCTCACCTTGGCCTCAAAAGTACCAACTTCAAAAAACTGAACAGTTTCCCTACCCACTGTACGCTCCCTCCAAATTCTACCATAAAGAAAAGAGCCCTTGATTAGTAGCCAGGAAACCTGGATTCTGTCTAGTTCAAGCTCTGTCACTAACCAACAGTGTGACTTCGAGCAAGATACAAATGTTTCCTCATTTTTTACCTTTCAATTTCCTCATCTATATAATGGGTGTAACCCACCTTTACTTGCTGCTTACCTGAGAAGAATAATCTAATAATAATTGCTACCATGTGTATGTGTATATATATATATATATATATATATATAGCACCTACTATGCGCCACACACTGTACTGAGAGCTTTACAAATTATTATCTCATTTGCTCCTCACAACAGCCCTGGGAGGTACGTGTTATTATTTCCCTCATTTTACAGTTAACAAAACTGAGAGAGACAGAGGTTATGGGTCTTACCCAGGGTCACAGCCACTGAGTGTCTGCTACTGGATTTGAACTGAGGTCTTGAACTGGGCCTGATTGAAGGTCCGGCATCTTATCTGCATGCCTCTAATCTCTACCCTGCCTAAGTCCCAGGGCAGATAATAAGGATCAAATGAGACAACGTGGGATAGAGCCATATGACTAAACGGTTATGTGAATGTGAAATAGTATCGTTTCTGCTTTACACTTGTGACTGCCTTATCTCTTGTTGGTCTGGTTTTTGTTTTAAAGCTTAAGAAAAAAAAATTTGGGCCTGACAGACACTTCCCTCAAAAAATACCCCAAAAAACCATAGAATATATTACCAGAAAAACAAAGACAAGCCATGATTAGAACTGATAACACATGCCCCCCTGCCCTTTTTGTCAGTTTATTCATGGATTCTTTAATTTTGTCAGTATTGCACTGAGGGGATTATTTCAGCAAGTGGTTAATTGTGAGAATTGAGTGAACCACACCAACTCTATCTTGTGACTCAATTCTGGAGCTAGCTCAGTTGCCTTTCTATTCATTTATGGGTCTAGTCCAAGGGTGGGGAACCTTTGGCCTTGAGGCCTTCTAGATCCTTGGGTGTGGCCTTTTGACTCAGTCCAAGTTTTACAGAACAAATCCTTTCATTAAGGGGATTTACTCTGTGAAGTTTGGATTCAGTTGAAGGGCTGAACTTGAGCACCTAAAGGGCTGCATGTGGCTTTGAGGTCACAGGTTCCCCACCCCTGGCTCTAGTCCAACTTCTGTCCTGTGAGAAAACTTTATTCAATTGTGGGAATCGGGAGAAAACCTTACTGCATTGTTTGAACCTAGCCTAGCATGGCTGGGAAGCTGGACCACCTCTACCTACTGCTTCGAGACCCTTAACCAAAGACCTAGGTTATGCTGACAGAAACTCCAAAAGTCAGATCCAAAGATTAATGCAAGGAGTTTTCTCACAATTTTACAATTTTACATCTCAAACAACCCATATGTCTTGTCTGAAAACTGGCCCCAGACTGATCAATCAATAGTTTCCATATTCCTTTGTTTATAGACACTTTGGGGAGTAGGACACCTCTTTTTCTGAATTCAGGAAATTGCACCTGTTTGCTCTCCCCCTCCCAACTTAGAAAGTCTCTAATTTTTCCTCCAATTAGAAATCAGATGACCCAGTGTTGTACTGTTTCCTATTCATAATTGGCTTTATTTGATTAATTAATTGTTTTTAATGTACAAAAAAGTCTGTCTCCTCCTATACTCAGGGTCCAGACCTAAGCTGAGGAGGTCTGGTCCTGGTTTGTTGGGCAGTTGCCATGTGTTGCTTAATAAATCGAGATGCTCAGAAGAGCATTGTTACCACTGAGTACTGACTTTATTTACTTTGTTGTCAATGAATGTGTACATGTTGTTCTTTTCTGTGACCTCTATTTCTTACAAAGATTAAGATTGGTGTGTTATTGAAGCTATTTTTCTTAGACATATTTTCCATTACTGTCCCTTTTTTCTTATAATTTTCTCATAGTGTTCATTATGAAGATGAGAAGTATTTTGAAATATTTCCACAGATAGATTTCCCAAATGTATCTTCCTAGCTTCCATTTTATTTTTTTGAGACTTATCTTTGGGATGGGGGGGAGGTTAGGACTAAAACCAAGGGGAATGGACTGGAGTAGTAAGTTAACTTACACAGGGAGCAGGGGCTAGTTGGAAGAGAGAGATTGAGATCAGAGCATGAGGACTTCCTAACTTGTTACCTCAACCCTTCTCTGCTCCTATTTAGGATCATGGATTTAGATCTGAAAGGGACTCTTGAAATCCCCTAGTACATCCCCTCTCATTTTATAGATAATAACATGGAGATGAAGTGACTTTTCCAAGGTAACACAGTTAATATCCAATCTAAGATTTAAACTCAAGGTTCCTGCTTTCATATCCACTACCCTTTCCACTACACCAAGATTCTGCCAACATACTCATGGGACAGATGCTATTTGGCCTGCACCTTTCAAAGATGCCTGACTTAATGCCCAGTATACTTTATAATGTTTCTATCCTAAACAAACTTTGACCTTGTATCTAACTTGGATGCTTCCTATGTCAGGAGAGTCCTAGACTGGGAGGTTCTTGTGGGGGGCTGGAAGGGTGGAGGAGACACATAAGAAGGGGGGAAGGGGAGAGGAAGAACTCAGATTCTTCAGTTAACTGTCATCTACTCCCCCACCCACCCCACCACAGTCATACACTGAACCTCAGAGATCGGGGTGACCTCCCTCCATAGCTGGTTCCCTACAGAGTGACCAGGGCCAGGTGACCAAGGGAGGGCAATGCTTTGTCTTTCTCTTTTCCATCTGTCACTGTCTTTGTGTCTCTGTCTCTCCAGTTGGTCAATCTTTTGTTGCCTTTTATTTATTTGTCTTTGTCTTCTATTTGCGTCTTTCTCTGGATGTCTGTCATTTTCTGCCCCTATCTCTCATCTGCCTCAGGGTCTCTATGCCTCTCTCATTGTCTTGTTGTTTATCTCTATCTCTTAGTCGTTATCTAATTTCTTTGTTTATTTGTCTTCCCAACTATTACCCCCAACAGGATAAATGGATTCTTGGTCAGGAAGAATCTCCCCTTGATGAGTCAGTCCTACTTCTACTACTGGAAGGTAAGCTGTCACCTTTCCATTGATAGGGACAAATCACCCCTTCCCCACTCACCAACAGGCCAAGGTACATTCTCCAATCTGAGTGTACTTCCAAATCAACCAAGAAGTATTTATTGTGTCTACTATATGCTGGGTGATGTACTAAGTACTGGAGATACAAATAGAAATGTGAACCAGTCCCTGCTGTCAAGAAGCTTACATTCTACTAGAACATATACATATTTGGAATATGTAACACTGGAATATGCCTAGACTTTGACCATTGACTATACTAGTGGGAGTATCTATAAAGGAAACATCAAACCTGTAACCAGTGCAGGTGGTCAGTGCATTTGAGGCCCTGTGCAATAGCCTATTGGGGATAGAGGGGCGCAGAAATGGGGCAGTTATTAGCTCAGGCTTTCCTCTTCCTTAAAATGGGAGTTGTGATATCTCTCTAGCTGGGCATGTCCTAAAAGAAGGGATTTCTTCCACTAATCCACAACCTACCCAAACCTCCCTGCCATATCTATTTTTCTAACTTTTATAATCTACCCCTATTTCCAACCCTTTTGAGAACTTCAGACAATCATCTAGTGTTTATAAGGTATAGTATACCTTGCACAATTAGGGATCAGGTGTCAGAGATCAAGGATAAAAGGAAAGATAAAGCCTCAAAATTTAGGGATTATGATTCAGCCTTGCTACTAAGTTGTGAGCCAAACTACCTTTCTCCCTCCCCTACAACAACAGGGCTTGACTGGTTGCACAGACCTCCTGCCATGGCAGGGACCTCGAAGCGTTCCATGTCTCCCCACTCCTCACAACCTTCCAGCCCCAGGACTTCCTCCTGTGAGATGTTTGGCTATGTGGGGATTGAGGCTGTGCTGGACCAGCTGAAGATCAAAGCCATGAAAACTGGTTTTGAATTCAACATCATGGTTGTCGGTGAGCAAAAGTGAATGAGTGGCCATAGGGGTTAGGAGGAAGAGAGGAATAAAAACAAGTTGAAGAGGAGAAGAAACAAGATAGAGTCAATTCAGGGCTCCCTCCTTTCCCCTTAATTCAATCTCTTCCACTCTGTGGTCTACAAGCCATTCATCAACCTGTATAAACCCTATGTCCCTATAACCATTCCCTTCATGATTTATATATATATATATATATATATATACACACACACACATACATATACACATACATATATATATATGTATATATATATATATATTGGGCAATTGGGATTAAGTGACTTGCCCAGGGTCACACAGCTAGTAAGTGTCAAGTGTTTGGTCTGAGGTTGGATTTGAACTCAGGTCCTCCTGACTTCAGGGCTGGTGCTCTATCCACTGCACCACCTAGCTGCCCCTATGATTTTATATTTTTAAGTGCCATAGGAGCATAGGTTTATATCTTGAAGAGACTTCAAAGATTCTCTAGTTTAAACCCCCCCCCCCATTTTACAGATGAG